ACCATTCTGGCGAATTGCCCGATGATGCTGGATGTAATTACCAGCGAAACGTCGTACTCAAATTGTAAATGTTGTGGATTCACTCTTCAACACACCGGTGGGCTAAAGTAGTGAACTATTTGTCTTTTGTCAACGTGACACTTTTTTGCTGATTGGCCGTGTCGGGTGGTGGAGGGTTACGACACATTTATAAATAACGCGATCTAACCCAAAAACCTTTATTATGAATAATATTGGTCGCAAAAGCCTACGTGTTAAACAGTAAAACAAGTGTTGATATCCCTGCAAAGTGGAACTCATTTTATTAGCACGAGAGGCGCAATGGGCTACGTCAACCCCCAACCAGGATTTGAATTCGCAACCTTATGACTGTGAGCCACTCGTTCTGCCACAGAGCCACCTGGCTGGTAATTAAATGACTATCGCCGAATCTTGTAAGGCGGTGGTGGATTGCGGAGGCCTTCATCCAGCAGTGGATTGAACATGGGGGATTGATGATGATAATGAATAATAAAATGTTGTGATGTTTTTAATATTTGGCATAGGCCAGCAACGCAAATCGCGGCTGGGTTGTGCATCAGCCGGTCAAAGGGGCTTTTACGTGATCAATGGATTTTCACCAACTCTGAACTCCAGAGTGGACTTGCCAACAAGACTCTTAGCATTTTTTTTTGACCTTCACTATTTGTACTCTGAGTTTCTATTTGAACTCTGTGAGCTGAATATGGCTTGCGGCAAACACACGTGTTTGACTGATGTGAGATCATCAAAATCTCTTGGAGATTGGTAGGGGTTTTTTTTCTTCTTAATCCTCTTGTCTGCCCTAGGGCTTGAACCCCGGATCAGAGGTGCAATACCAGATCTCAATGTGGGCACGGGAACCCTAAGCTCCCAAGCATTAATATTATGACTACTTTAATAACCACCCTTAAAGTTGGCTCTTTCGATGCTTAACCAAAATTGAAAATAATTACCTCATTATACATGTTGATCCTGCAAAGGAATTTCAAGAAATCTTAATTGTTTATGGTATGCGATGCATTTTTTTATTAAAACCCCCCAAAAATGTTTGAGACACTGCTTTGGCGGTGGTGCACAAGTAACACACACTCAACACGGGTGACATTTACGACTATTGCCCCGTCTTCATGGCAGAGATAAGATAATGCATCTCCCTACTATGAAGAAGAGCCATTAGTCCGATACATCTCTTATTTGTATTGTTTTCTTTGTTCTCGGTAAGTCGTATTGATTAATGTGTTGATTTATTTTTGCTGGTGTAACACCCGTACAGAAATCTATTTACCAGGATCAAATTATAGCTTCCACCAACCATGCAATGAAAATTATGTCTTGCAGGTTGCAATATAGAGTACGTATAGATGTCTTAAAATATATATAATGACTGTGAAATTTTAAAAAGTATGAATTTTAAATGTTTTCTTTTTTATTAATTTGTAACATGTGATGTATTCACAAACTGTACTTATTTTGTTCATTGAAGTGGCATTCTAAAATTGTAGTGTTTCATTTTTTTTAAAAACACTGCCTGTGTAAGGCCTTTGTACTGCTTTTATAAAGTCAAAACTCGATAAAGATATTTTACAAAGTTGTATAATACTCTTAGCAATTTAATTTGTAAAATGTTTAGTTTATACACTATCATAAATTGTATTTACTTTCATACAAAAGGAAGTAAAAAAAGTACAGCCCTTTTATTTTCTGGTGAACACATTGTGATACATTATACATTGTGTATAAAGAAAGATGAGATTATTTTACCCAAGGCTATTCGGTTTAGATGACATTTGAGTGGAAGTGTAAATTTAGACAAAGTATTTGGACATTATCAACATGTTTTTTACTTGGATAATGACACGTACACAAACGTTGAACAATGCATAACGCGTAGAGTATACCTTTATACATCGCGCTCAAACACACAAATACATATTGATTTAAAGCTTTCGTGACTGCAGTAATTCATATTCTTAGTTTTTTCGGTAAAGTCACGTTGAAGGGAAACAACAAAATAATAAAATATATATAAAACAATAGAAGATGACCGTTTGAGTTATGGTCGAAACGTCGTGAGAATTTTTTATTGTTTTATATATTTTATTATTTTGTTGTTTCCCTTCAACGTGACTTTACCGAAAAAACTAAGAATACACAAATACATAGTTAAATGGTGCACATACTTGCATCTCAATGTTACAGAATTCTGTTGTTTGTTTTCTCATATAAATCAACGTTTTATGATTGCACTTCAATACAGGATATGGGAATGGTCTACCGCCTGATATTTCACAGAAAAATATTCAGCATATAGTGATTTCTTGTTCCAGGTTAACACTGTCCCGAGTGCACGCAGCAGGATTACCGTCCGCTAATTCTGCTGCGGCTGCTGCATCGTAATGGAATTAGTAATGCAATTTAACTGCCCATGTAATGGCAGGTCGGTAATTACAGCGTGTAGCACAGGAGGGGCTTACAAGCCATGCAATAAAGCATAGCAGTGTTCATTTAATTGCAATTATTTCGTCCGTAAGGCACAAGTGTCGTGCAAATGGCCTTCTCTGTCTTCAACTTGGATGACACACGTACGTGCGGTGTGTAGAATAATTTTACTTGGAACTTGGGGCACAATAGCTATGTGATTATTAATATATGGATGTAATGGCGGTACACCAGGTGCAACATAGCACACCGGTCTTCATAGAACAGTCTAAAATCTAAACTTGAAATTTAATTCGTCTTCCGACTGCTTCGCCATCACGAGAACTGATGTTGAAGTACCCCGCAAGATTTTCTGACCGGTGGTTGCGAATCGTGGCAAAATAAATTATTATTGCAAAAAACGTGCTTTTTTTTTACCGTGTGCCGGCCTACCACCAATACTTGGGAAATCGAACTCTCCTGTGTGCGACTGTGGCTACGATCAACAAAACCATGGACCATTTAACTTCGCACGTCTCCAAAGATAAACGTGAAAGCGGTGGGTGAGTGCGCGCATCTGCCATTCACAAACTCAGACGAAGAGACTGAATGGCTAAACCAACTTTCGCAACCAAATCTCTGATAGTTTGTGACCCGTACGCCGCATGAAACAAGGAATCACGATTTATAAAATGATCTATAAGAGACCGCCAACAGGAGTGCGCTCATTGTGTTTACGTTGCAGCCCGTGCACTACTCGTGTGAGATGTTAGCGTCCGTTACTGAGACTGAAAGTCGCACCTTCTTTCTTCTGTTTCTGTGTAATTTCTGCCTCACATGTAATGTACCCTCGCTAAAAAAAGAAGCACCCTTTTAACACGTTTTTTCTTTCAAACATCTGCACCTGACTTGAATCCCAGTGGCACCCAAGGGTATTGATGTCACCTGCACCTCTGTTCTTGCCAGGAATGAGCCGACGTTATTCTAAGACCAAGGCCCACAGAGCAATGTGTTGGGAATGAAAAACATAAACCATAAAAGGGCCATGTTTACATGAAGAAATATCCCTACATATTCATATATGACCGTCGCATCTTTAAAAAAATATAATGGGCATGTGGTAATGGACCTTCTATGTAAATGCAGCTTCCCACAGAACAGGGAAATATTAGGAACTGAAAATATCACTCCGGTTGACTGGCGCGATGAGAAAATATTGGCGGTTAGGCCTTCGCGGTGTGGTTTGTTTTTCGGGCCTTGCTTGCCTCTCTTACGGTAACTCGACGCTGGCCTGAAGTGTGACGGATCGCGCTCACCCATCACCCACGCAGCATTGTTTTTGCAAAGGGTGGCTTCACGGGAGCTGCGTTTAAGCCATGACGTGTGCCGCCCCAGACGGGGTGTTCTGGGTGACCCTATAATGACGGCGGTCCCATTATGGGTCCTTTCATCCCACTGCAAAGCCGCTATTGCCCTGTCCATCACTAGTAAGCACTGATAGAACGATAAGTACCACCCCTGCCTCAAAAAAATGGTTGGAACCCCGAAATTCTTCTTCTGCCATGATTTGCTTTATTACAGTGTTGGGAAGCTCACCCCACATAATGATATGCCTCCGCTGATGTAATGAATTCAATGGAATCTTCAATATAAAGTACATGCCTGCAAATGCAAATGATGAGAACAAAAACGTTGAGATTTTTTTTAAGGTTTTAAAATTGTCAGATCACGTCAATTGTTGTTTGCAATCGACTAGCAGATCAAATAGCAGTGCTCATAGTTGTAATTAATGATTCACTGCCACATTGAAAAAGCAATTGCACACTTCTAGTTAAATGTCTAAAAAATTATACCGTAATGTAACTTCAGAGAATCAAGTCACATTGAATGTTAAGTTATGAAGGCTAGCAGCATCTTAAGAGAGCAGGAATCCACTTGTCTGCTTGATAAACACTTATTCAATGCACTGGGCAGCATTTAATTAAATGTCCTTTAGTGTGCTTTGAAGGAAATTAAAATTGTATGCGAGCTTGAAATGTTGGCAGTAATTGGACTACATTCAATTTCCCAGAAAGACTCCTTGTCATTGAAGCTCTCTCTCCATCCTCATGCAGCGATAACACATATTGACCAAACATCTCAGTAGAGGATGAACCTCCTGAAAAAATATGAACCCATTTAAGACTCTCCAGTGCAATGGGTTATTAGGATGAACAAATTATGCGGATTATAAGATGCTCCGCAAAGAAATATACACCCCACACGTGTGCTCGGTGTCCATAAACTCACAAAAAAGAACAAAGATCCCCCATATAGCCTTAAAGGACTGTTGGGGCAAGTGCTTTCAGCGAGCACCTATGAAGGCCGGCACGGCACACGAGGGGGTGGTGTGGCCAACACCACGCCCGGCCGCCTTTGTCTCCCGAGTGAGGATATTTACACATCGAACCAGGTACTAATTTGAGGATGAGTCGACCTGGGGGAGGCTCAGGACCGGTTCAAATAATAGTCACTGGTGTTGGCCGTGAGCGGGAATCGAACTCGGGTCGCTGGGTTCGTAGCACAGCACGCTAACCACTACACTACCGCTACCCACACACACACACACATACGTCTACTGGATCGTAAGACGTACCCACAACTTTTGCTTGAAAATAAATGAGGAAAAGTGCGTTTTATCCGCAGGATACGTTCATATCTGCTTGATCAATGAAGTGATACTTGTATTGTATTTAACGTGTCTTGTGATAGTGCCTTGGCAGTGGTGCGTAAGCGCAAATAACAATAGTGCAACACATTTGTCAACATTGCCCTGGAAATAAATGTATGATATATGTAACTTTACTTCGCTTTTGGGCAACGGCCCTTCTTCATCGCGGAGTGATCGTGTATTGCTTCATGTGCTAAGCAATAGCACACGTGCGCTATTACTTAGCACAGTTGGGAACGTACGGCGCGAAAGAAGTTGAACGTACATAATAATAATTAAAATGTATAATTAGCATTCCAGCTTAGGATCCCAATGCCCAATGCGTGGAAAGCAGGAAACAAAAACAGAACCAGGGCAACCGACCAAACTAAAGTGGGAAGGCCACTTTATAAAGAGATGGGGTTTTCAAAGCAGACTTGAATCTATCTACCGACTCCGATTGCCTGATTTCAAGTGGCAAAGCGTCCCATAGTTTGGGTGCCACGCTAACAAAAGCCCGATCGCCGAAAGAGCGCAACCTAGAGACCTGGGAGTGCTGAGCATTTGGAGATCAGATGATCTTAGGGACCTTGATGGAATATGTATTAAACCAATCTACATACATGTGACGCTTCGTGAACATTAAAACAGGCACTTGCAATAAGAACACGCGCGGATGTGCGTGCGCACGTCGGAGAGCTTGATCGCGGCGTGTTTGGGGGTGCTTGGCACGCTACGATGACCTTTGACCCGGGGCAATTTCTCATGTCTTCTTGCCTGTGGGTGACTTTTCAGAGGAGTCGCTCATCCAGGCTTTGCCGTGTTCGAGTCTTGGATACTAATTGCTTTAAAAGCTGGAAGAGAGCATTGCCGCGGAATGGCTTTGCGCTGCACCTGGGCATGCACGTCATCGAAATGTGGAAATCAGAGACGTCTTGCATTGTGCTCCGTATGAAAACCTTTCATGTCCAATTGTACTCCACTTGTCCTCCTCGGTAGATTCAATGCAGCGTTTAATTTCAGATCAGCTGTGGGGGAGAAAATAAATCAATCAGTTTCACGTAAAATGAATAGTAATTGTCACTGCGGTGCTTTCTAGTGTGATAGGATTTCTAAATGGATCGTTAAAATATGTATAAGTGTTTTGTGTGTGTGTGTGGTTAACAAAGCATGCCGTGTAGTGTGTAAAATACACAGTTGAGCAGTGGTTGAAAGATAATGTAATTGCATTTTAACTTTAGCACCCTTTGTATTAATACTCCCTGGTTCTTTCGGTAAAGTCACGTAGATATAAAAAATAATAAAAGACGTTTCGGTCGCCTGTTGATGGACGCTTGTGTTGTGACCGAAACGTCGTGTTCTTTTATTATTTTTTCTATCTACGTGACTTTACCGAAGGAACCAGAGAGTATGGATTCCTGCAGTCACGAAAGCTTCACATCAAGATCACCATTTGTATTGTTTCATGTTTACGTTAAAATTTTAAGGGCTTTTCATTTTGCATTACAGTGTACGGCATCACAGCTCGTGAAAAAAGTAAACATTTTCAGCGACAATTTGCACTCCCACCTCTCGAACTCCTTTCACTCTTTGTGCCCTGGCACTTGTTGTCTTATACTTGTTTCCAGGCCTTCATCGCAAACGGGATTCGTAACTCAATGGGCTATCAGTAAATTACACTACGCAATGATTTATACTTCAATCTAAAGTTTGTTCAACAGTGTGACCAGCTCATATTTTTTCGCGTGTTTTGTGCATATTAGTCATTACCCCCACGATGCATGCATGAATTGTGCACGTGAGATCCAATTTATTCACAATTCATGGAAAGCATGTGCAAATAATATGCAAACACATATATTCGGAGCCAAAGACATGTTGGCAGCCAGGGAAAGTTGCCGTCCTTATGTAAGCTCCCAACTGTGGCTCTTTAATCGCCAGCTGTACAAAATTTGGCAGAACAAAATAAAACAAGAACTAAAACAAAATGTATGGTAAAAACTAGACCAAACAATATACAGTGTAACATCGTATTGCAAACCTGCATTGTGAATTAAGACCACAGTATTCATCAAATCGGTATACACTGATTATATACAACTCGTGGGGCAGCACATCCTATAGAGAGGATGATGTGACGCTGGCATAACACGCACCTGACACTCACTCAACACTCACTCGTCCAGACAATCACCGCTCACCTAACCCTCACCACTCACCAGTTTTTACAAAATAGTGGGAAGATCAGTGAGCTTCAAAAGCCACTTCTTCCCTCCCCTTTGCACACCCCTCCCCTAAAGGGTGGATTAGCACTCTACCTATTTGAAATTAATTAAATGAACAGGTAAAAGGTAAATTATTGTTTGAAATTTTTACTTCGTTCGATACATTTTACATACGCTTTTGAAAGGGCATCACGTTAAATTAAACTTGGTTTGCAGTGGTTTAGTAGGAGTTCTCTGGACAAAAATAGATACAAGCACAGTCAGAAACATTTAGATTAGCAAGCCGATTATGTGACAAATTATCATGCGATGCTTCGTTGGTAGTGGTGCATATGCAAAAATCACAAAAAAACCTCAAACACATTCATCAATAACAGTGCCTTAAAATAGAAAACAAAAAATCACTTAATGTATGTGCTATGAAGAAAGACCATTGCCCGTAACATCACCTATTATATATTTTTTAACTTTAAGGAAGTGTCATTGATGAACGCATTGAGGTTTCCCCCCATTATAAACTTGTATTACACCTTGTGGGGGGTTATTTGTATAAGCCATCACGGTACAGCATGAGGCCTCAATGCGTGCACTGATATGTCTCCTCTTCCTCTTTGGCTTGTGCAACCGTCATTGCAAACGAGGTGGGCATTCCTGCTCAAAGCTCACGCTTTGCATTTTACGTGTCCGGTTTGTGCTCATTCTGACGACTCTGAAGTGCTTTGTGCCCCGACGCATGCTGGAATTTCCCCCCACGTGGCTGGCCTGGCGCAAGTGCAGAACTCGTTTGAAGCGCACGCGATTATACGACGCCAATGACCAAATGTCCGTGCTCCGAAGGAGCCCCCGGTCTCCTCAGATCTTGGACGACTCAGCAGAGTTGAGCCCCCGGATGGTTCTCTTGATCTGTAAAGGTGCAACGTTGGGCCAACGTTGGCATGCGCTCAGAACCTGCCGACAGGACATCGGGCCAACGTTCTACGTTAACTGGGTGGGTGACCACCACACTTGCAAAAATATAGGTGTAATAGTAATAATAATGCTTTCATTTTATATGGCGTCATTCATGCCAACAGCACCCCACAACGCTGTACATTAATTACGTATAACTTATATCTCATATACGCGGTTGGCTATGCATGGCACGAAAGAAGCCCAACGCACACACACACACGTACGTACCAAGCAAATGAAAACCGTAGCACTTCCGAGCAAAATTAAAGACAAAACGAATAAACAAATTGGGAAATGGCACCAAAACAAAAAGCACAAACGACAAAAAAGTTTGTCCATTGGGTCACACCCCAAACGACGATCCCACTTTAGTAGTAGAGGAAAGTTCAACAGAAATCCACTGCTCTTCTGCACTCAACCCAACCTCCCCACCCCACCTGCACCTTCATCCCGCACTGACCATCGTGGTTCAGTACGGTCAAATACCTCTCGCGGCACGCAAGGGGAGGCCCTCGTCTGGCAGTGGATTGACAAATGAGCCATAAATGTCCATGGGTATATACGTTCCTATGCAAAGTGTACACCTTGTGTGGGATAGATGTATGCAGAATAGACAACGTACACGCATGGATGGTAGATATAGCATATACACACAGTATATACGGAATATATACTGTAACAACAACATCAACAACAACCGCCATTCGCCACTAATTGCTGGTGAAATCACCACAATGCTTGTGCCAGGCTGGGTTCACTTTAAAGCCGTGTGAAGTGTGATTGAAGGCTTGCTGGCAGGAGGTCGTGTGAACAGACCCAGGTGTTATGGGTTAACTGACTGAGATAAGTGACGGTATTTGGCACCACACGCGCGCGTGTGAGGAGTGGTGGCTCGTTGGTTTCGGACATTGTGTCACGATCCTGGCGACCTAGGTTTATTTCCTAGTTATGAAATGCCACGCATAAGACGGGCTTCCCCGAGGTCTACGCAGCATTTCACGAGCACACAGCTGCTTCTGTGATTTAACGTTGATTTGTGTTTGTGAAATAATTTCGATTTGTTGCGTGATATAGTTGAATGTTTGTTTTTTGTCCCGCTTTCTATTGGTGTTATTGCTGTATTTTTTATTGTATTAGTTTTGCTTTTGTAATTTGTGTAACCATGGCCCATCTTGCAAATGTGACTATCCTGGTTCCCTTGTGTTCGTACCCGGTTAAACAAATAAAACTTGAAACTCGTGTGGACAGACATTTTGGATAAAACGGTACATTGGCTCGTCAAATAATTTAGATTATTTTAGCTCACAATATGTTCATGGAATGACGTGCATCAGACTCGAATGTGTTTTTTTTATTCGCACGTGTTGTATGCAATGGGTTCACGTGATCTCTCCAGTCACCAGAGGCTTGCTATATTCACCACAATGTAACGATAGCAAGAATGCATTTTTGAATTGAATGCTGACCCTGAATTGTGACAATTCCTTGCATTGCAAGGGAAGAGGCGGGAGTGGAGTGTGAAAGGTTACACCCCAAGTAAGCATCTGTGCTAGGAGACAAAGGTGGCAGGGCGTGGTGCTGTCAATACCACCTCCGTGTGTGCTGGGCTAGCGTGAATGAATAACACTGGTTTATAGAGCAAAGTAGGGGATCTTTGCGTGTAGAAGAATATAGCTCTATGTTTCAATAACAAATGCCATTATTATGCAAATACATACCATTGTGACTGACTGAGTGACTGATGTGATTTCTAATATGTTTCAGAAGGGCTAGAATTATGTTTTTTGGCACGGCGATACTGTAGTGGAGTCTATGCTAATAAGTCAGCATACTTTTAGATATTGTGCGAAACACTAACCAATGCATGACCGCGATCATTGGCAAATCAAGTAATGTGCCTCTTTTGGATAGTGAAATGAGAACAGATAGAAGAGCGGTCAAAGTTTTTCCACTGCTTAACGTTACATTCGTGTTTGTGAGAACCCTGTATGCATACACGCGCACACACGTGCGCACCCGATCTAACCTGATGGTCAGCTGTCAAACTCCAAGTGCTTCTATTGTAGCACCCAACACACACTGCTGAGTGTTTATATTTCACATTTCATGTTTTTGACAGCAGAAAAGTAGGTCGAGATTGTGTTCACAAACAGGACACTCTCGAACCCGCTGTATTTATTCGTTAATATGCCTACCGAGACACATGGATGCATCGAACTGATGAATTAGATTTTGTTTAGAAAATGCCATGCATAGCTCAGAGCTGGCGATTGTTTATTTAACGTTATTTAACGTTTATTTTGGCAGCGTCCCCGTGGCAAATTCTAAATCTTCATTGTTAATAAATAAATAAAAATTGGTGAGGGCAGGAGTTGGAGGAGGGGGGGGCGAAATGCTAGAAATTACAAAATTCACAAAGGAGAATTGCCGCTGTGGTTATTTATGAATACATTTGAGCTTGGAGGTGTGGTCCATTTACAGGTATGCATCTATCTCCCGCTTGTTTTAACCCTCCCCCAACACCGCGGTGGGATAGCAGCCTGAGTGAACAAAAGCCCTGAGGTGTGCAACCCAAGCTAATGGAGGAGGAGTGGGGGGGAGAGATGCAGGAAGCTCATCCACTCAGCCAGGCCAAATCATTTCCTCTCTCCCCGCACACACACACACAGACACTCCGAGATCCCCTTTCAGCAACAGTCTGTTTGTCTAACCCTTCCAGCCATTTATCCACCCGCCTGGGAAAGGAAGCTGAGGTATCAGCCCGTGGTGTCACCAGTTCCCTCTAAGCCATCCATCAAACTCAGCTGTCTTATGGCTGTGGTCACATGCAAGCGGTCTGAACCTTACAGTCACATTTTGCTTTGAAATCTTGTGGTGCTAGCCGCGTGGCCATTATCGCACATCTATCGTGCTGTCTGGGAGCTGCTAAAACAAGCCCCATTGCCTGACCTGTAGCTTCCTATTGAATTGCCCCCGCGGCAGTTTTTGAGGCCACGGCTCAGGACTCGGGTTACTTGGCTGGCAAGAGTGGCCCGCTGCGGCTAAAAGCACCGGTGCATCGGGCGTGCTGGATGCAGGTGTCGAAGAGCCGAACGCCTTCATGATTTACGTTCCTCTTCCAACGGGGGGTAAACAAAAAGTCTCACTCGCTTCGCCACTGTCTTTGCCACGTTACTCATCGCGCTCTCCCACCTCCCCCCCCCCCCCCCAGGGCCTTTCGTGATGGGGCAACCGGTAGAAAATCGACGTGCTCGCGATGACAGCCGCATTTTCGTCTCTCTCCGTCTCGCAAAGGTGGAGCTACGAAATATTTCCGCGGTGATGCTGACCGGCGGTGACACCTCGTTGCCTTGCGATGTTTTTTTTTCTGATATGCACGAGTACTTGCCCGCGTTCATCTCAGGCGCAGCACGGCATTTATCTTGGGCCCCTTTGAGGATATCACGCACTTCCTGCGGTTTAGGGACTAATCTGTACCCACCTGGGCATTAGTGTGTCCCTCAACCCTTTCATTAAGTCCTCCTGGGCCACATTCAATGAAGATGGGATTTCTTTTTTTGGAGGATCAGCCTCTAAGTGCAGCCCGAAGCCCTTCCAAGGGATTAGCATCTACGAGGCCTAATCTTCACTGATATTTTAATTAAGGAAACAGGCCAGCGACTTAGTATGTTCATCAGCACTGACACTGAGCCGAGGGGTATGTCAAGGGTTAATCCCCGCAGCCGAAATCCAATGTAGCGATATGCAAATGCTACAACTATTTTTGTAATAACATTTTCCGGACAACTCGTTAAGGTTTTGGTGGGCCAAGGAGAAACAAAATCTGGCCAAACTAAACGTTTGTGGAATGACTATTAATATGGCACCTTCGAAGGTGATGCAAACATTGCTTCTTACAATATGGAGAGACGAGTGCATCTCGATTGTATGATGTAAGATTCCTGATACATGATATTGTCTCTATTTGTTAATTAACTTTGTGCTGTGATAATCGTTTTTCATTAGATTTTTTTGGAGCATATTTTATTCCCTGGACATGTTTCAATAAAATAATGAACACAATTTTAATTTCTTCATACATTTTATTACCAATCGAAATTAGTGCACTAGAAAGTATAATGCAGAGTTACTGCTGACTCAGAGGTTATCATTATTCTCATAGGTCGTTTATTTAGTTCAGTACTATATAACCCACGTGTGTTTCCAGAACGGTAGATGACAAAGTTTCCGTGATTGTAAGGCCTATGACAGACTTCTGTTGAGTTGAATAACATTTAAGTAATCTTTATTCATATGGGAAGATCAGAAAAACACAAAAAAACACTACAATGATAATGCAAAATACATTTGCAAAGTTATGAAAACCAATATCACGATAATCGACTTGTCGTGAATATTAATATCGAATTGTAAAAAATATTTTATCGTGACCAACACGAATGTAATCTTCAGTCCATGGAGGTTGTTTAACCATACTTCACCATGCTGTTCAATGTGAGTGGGTGGATGGGGACAGTCCATGGACCGATTCATATATCACTCGTCACCGACGTTAGCCGTGGCAGAGTATCGAACGCAGGTTGCCGAGTTCATAGTGTGTGTGTATGTTGAACTTCTTTCGCACCGTACGTAGCCAACCGTGCTGATCGAAACATTCTAACCATGGCTCCACAGCTCCCATGCGCTCCAGACTTAAATAAGTATCTCAACATTGGTTTGTTTGGCTATGGTATTTAAGCGACTACAATAATTGGTAATGGTATGTGCGTTTTCATATCTGCGTATGTGTTTTGGAGGAATACATTCTGAATGTGACATAGAAATGTATCATTCACGTATAAAAGGAACAAATAGTGTGAAAACATCTAAGTTGTATTTTTTACTCTGTGTGTGCAATGTGTTCTTGTGGACACATTTTTATTTGAATCAATTACCATCGAGACTTTCAAGTATCTAAATCTAATTATGTTTCAATGATGGTATTGTTATTGTACCACTTAATAATCGTACGCGGCTCGTGGAAATTACACGTCAACATACTTTAAAGTAAAATAAAAAATGATAGGGCCACGTTGGAAATAAACTTTTTTATGTATAATTGTACACCATGAACAACAATTTATTTTTGTCATGATATAACAAGAACATCCACACTTTGATTTGATTTTTAAGCGGTATTATTTGTAGACATGCTTTTGCCATGTAATGTAATCCAACTGTCAAATTTAAATGTGCGTTTCAAAAAAAAAGGGGCTTGATGCGTGAGTAAAGTTGATATGAAGGTAATGGTATCCTTTAAGCGGCGTTTGATTTTTAATTTATAAAATGCTGTCATGGGCAATGTCCCTCCGCGTAATGAATGCGCAAAGAGCGTGTTGAGTAAAACGCCGGTGTTATTTGAGCTCCGAGCTAAAATTCCTCTGTACATTTGAACTGCATTTTAAAACAAACTTTAGTGTATGGGGAAAAGGCTTTAGGATTCATCATCACTTGTTTACGATGTAAATGAGGAAGCGTTGTACTTTATTGAAAAGTGAATCACTGTAATGGTTTCCACTGGCTATTGTGCATATCTTCTATTGCAAGTATCCTGTTTACCTTATTACTATATTTCTGGAATTTTAAGATCGTAACTTAGCACAATTGTACAATTAAACATTTACGCAAGTTCACAACCTTTAACGGGCTTCATATTTGGAATGTTGCACAACCTTGAGATTGTAATCACGAATGTGGCTTACGTTGAACATTAAATAAAGTAAAAACCCTCACCAATATATCCCAAATAAAAGGTGTAATCGGTGATTACCGTAAGTCATTTTGCTACCACTGGATGCGATTATTCACAATGCAAAGACGTGGAGAAATCGATAGTTGGTTAATTTCCCTGCTACTTATAACGCTATTCATTGACACTTTTCATGGTCCTCTGAAAGCACTGCATTTTTATAATAAAGTTAATATTGCAGTAATTGTCTAAAGTGGTGTATTCCTTTATGTACGTGTAGATTTTTTTAATTAAAATGTCGGTCACTGGAAATATTCCAAAAGTTTAATTGCAGATATTTGGGTATCATTTGCGGACAGAAATATTGTCATCCTTTTCAACAATAATCTTATATATTTGCACACATTTAGTGTATTATCCTGGGCGTATTTGGTGCGATTCGTTGGGAATTGGTTATAATGATGACGCGGTCAAGTTTTACACGATTTTTTTAAACTCTAATTCTTTATTACAGTCCATGCTTGAAGAATAACTATGTATACATATTTTGTAATGTGAGGGTAAATACACCATTTAAGTGAAAACAGTATTCCCGACTGCAGAAAACGAATTCAATGATTTACATCCATGACGTGCATGCAGCATATCGGTACAGTGTCATTTCCTGGACAAAATAAACAATATCCTTATTCTTCTCAAAATAAATTAAGCATCGAAATATACACACGTTAATTTGTTCAACTAAAACGGCACTTCTTTTTTTATACACATCCGTGCCAATATTCTGCGTTGACAAATATGCCATCAAGTTTCATTAGGCTATTTACATCTACAATTAAACAGACGTTTAATCGGCATTTCGACGCTTGCACGCAAGCACAGGCTTGGGGGTTTCTTCTTCTTCTTCTTCCATTCCCCAGCACAACAAATCGGCACCATTTTAGACTTCGGTTCCGTCTCGCTGGTAGATGATATTGTTCACGCTGAAGCTGTATATTTGATTGTTGCTGACGCTTTGGCTCGCCGGGCTCGACTGGAAGTAGCCCATGCGGAGCTGTGCTGACGTGCCCGACGGCGGAGGGATGTCCATGATGCTGGGGATGGGCATCATGCTATGGTTGCCCCCGGCCGCCGGAGGGGAGAACTGACCGAGTCCCAGCGGCGAGTACGGAGCGGAGAGCGCCGACGAGAGGCCCTGCTGCAGCCTCCTGGGCGATGCGTCGTCTCCCATGGGGACCCCGGCCCCGAGCGGGCGATGATCCATGGCCCCGTCGTAGCTCGGCACCATCGAGTTCATGCTGCTCATGAAGTTGTTGAAGCAGGGCGACGAAGTGATGAGCGACGGCGGCGGAGGTTGGGGAGACGCTTTGGACTCGCCGTCCGAGCCCGGTGAGCTGGTGAGCCCGGAGGGGGAGGCCTCCATGCCGTCTTTGGTGATCTCGCTCGCCTTGATGTCATCCCCCTTGTCCAGCGCGGTGCCGTTGGGAGACATGTCAGACTTGCGCTTCCTCTTCCTTCGGAAGTTGCCGTTGTCGAACATCTTCTCGCAGTTGGGATCCAGGATCCAGTAATTGCCTTTGCCTGGTGAATTGAATAGAAAGTACAAAGTGGAGTCACGACTTTGTCGAGTTCGTAATTGATTGTGTTCTTGGAAATCTACTGCAGTCATCGTACACAGTCAACATTCTCGAGTGTGACATGCCATGAAAAATTGGTACGTTTTTCACAAAAATAATGTGCAACCCTGCATGTCAGTTGCAAGTAATTAAACCTACTCATAAACTTTAACATTTCACAATTGTTTTACCAGTGAATATCTTAATTACTAATTTTGATATATCCTAATTTATTACACACTGACATAAATGACAGTACGTAGTATAAATTACTCGAATTTATTTGATATGATTCAACAATTATAGCGACAACAACATGGTGATAGTAGATTTTCACTGTGAATATTATAACAACAACAACAACAACCCATGGCTCTATTGAATTGCCTATGTAATGGAGAAATAAACAAAAGCCCACGGCAATTATTTTTTGTGCAAACGGAGCAGCACCATTACCTGGGTCATCGTCATCTCTGGGCACTTTCTTGAAGCAGTCGTTGAGCGAGAGGTTATGGCGAATGGAGTTCTGCCAGCCGGCCTTGCTCTTCTTGTAGAAGGGATAGTTCTCGGCCACGTATTGGTAAATCTGGCTAAGCGTCAGCCTCTTCTCCGGCGTGTGCTGGATGGCCATGGCGATGAGTGCCGAGTACGAGTACGGTGGCCGCACCAGCCTGAAGAAGTCTTGCTGCCCCTGGTAGGACAGCCACGGGTTCATCTCGGCTCCCGCGCCGTAGCCCGGGCTCTGCGACTGCAGGAACTGCCTCTGGTTGGCACCGTAGTTGCACGGCTGCACGTACGACGGAGGGCTGCTGCCCACGTACGTCGGTCCGTTGAGCCACAGGTAGGGGTTGCTGGCGGGCGGCGAGTAGTCGCCGTAGCTCGACGACTGGTAGCTGGGAGGGCGCAGTGCGTTGGGCTGGTGGTGGTGGTGGTGGCCGCCGCCGCCGCCGCCGCCGACGCCGCCCAGGTTGTCGCAGTAGACCACCATGTCCAGGAGGTCGTGGGCGCTGTGGCCCGAAGTGGGCAGCATGGGCCCTGGAGACTGCTGCGAGCCGTGCGGGACGAAGGCGTTCATCGTTGTGGCTCTGCCTGCTCTTCGGTTGCTTATCTCCGTGCCTGGGGATTTTCTAAAGGTGCCGCTGTTACCTGAGCTGAGCTCGCCGGGCGAAGCGAGTGAGTTGGCTGCGGCGGGGGCTGCGATTTAAATAATCAGGGCACATAGCCTCGGGTGAAAAACCTGGGAAACTGGACTAGACCTGGTCCATTAGCCAGTGCAAGCCGGGTGCTGCAGAGTAAAAAAAAGAGTGAGAAGACTCAAAAATAAAGCTAAAAGACAAGCAAAAAAGACCCTTTGATTTATTTGTGAACTAACAGTTCGTAATAATGTTGTACGTGTTTTTTCTTCTTTCACAATGTTAAGTGGGAACTAAAAGTTTTTTTGACAATTTTTTCCAAAAAATGCCTCTTCCGGACGGGGTTTTTTTTTTTTTATAAACAAATGCTGCCCATTGTTTCATCGTAGAACGGTTAACTGTTACGTTATAGTATTGCTCTATTGCCAATAATTGCACAATGTGCACAAGTACTTGTTGTGAAGTGGGTCTTTAAGTATGAACAAGGACGATCTCAAGATGTTTATTGGTACTATCTTTTTATCGTGAATGACACCCACAATCACGCCTATTACTTTCTAAGTAAGGAAGGGCTAGTTGAAAATGTGCATAGGGTCCTTTTGTTTTTACCCTAGTCTCTCTGAAACGTTTGTGGGCAACCACTTTATTCATTTGGCCAGTTTTTTGTTTTGTTTATAAGGTTGGTCCATAATAGCAACATCACTTTTCTCTCGAAAAAAAGTGTCCAACGTGGAAAATGGTTATGTCTTTTGTCTTTTCCAAAGCATTATTTAGGGAATATTACGCACGATCAAAAACTGGCAACATTAGAATGGCTTAAGATGTCACCAATAATAGTGACAATAATGTTAAATGCCAAGATATCCAGCTGCTTAACCTTTTAAAGTTTTTAAAAAGTCATGAAAACTGACAGCCCCGTATTACACGTGAATATTGCTTATTAAAATTAAATCATTTACCATCCCTCAGTCACGAGGATTGTTTGACCATACTGTTGGTTATTGCCTTGGATTGGGTCAAATATCACCTGCCACTGATGTTAGCTGTGGACCAAAAGTTGAGCTCAGGTTTCCAGCACATTATGCTCACCACTGTGCCACCACTCCACCCCCAAATCGTATTTCTTTATTTTAAAATAGTTGACATTAACTGTGACTCGTAACATTGGCTAGCAAACTATGCAGGATTTGTATTTGTTAAAAATGCGTATTATAACCCATACAGTAAAAAATATTGTACACCTGAATGTTTCGATTTCCTCCAGTTTTAAATTAACTGAAGTCATATGACTGGCATTGCAAATACGCATACTTTACACATTTCAACAGTTAACTTTGCCGTATAACAAATATTAAAAAAAAACATTAAGTTATCGTGATGTATTTTTAATGATTTGTTGTTTTACTCATGTTAGCGAGCATCGTATACGTAACTAAATAAATTTCCCAAGTGTGCAAAAGTATCCAAAGTAAGCTTCAGAGGAGCTCTCCAGAGCTCCCTCGTGACGTGAGCAAAGCATTTGTGGGGCTGCATTTTTACCTTTTTAGACAATTTGTCATTCCAATTACGAGTGTAACGTTTCTGAAAACGTCCATGATCTGTGTTGATGAACGGTGTGCTGATGGAATAATATTGATTTTTGTTCGTTCTTTACTTAAAGTCAATGTATCTGCAATTATTCCATCGCCGTGTCTGCACATATTTATGTTTTTGGTAAATATGTTAGACAATAGCTCTGTATATTGAGTGCCTGCAATACAGCCGTCAATAATTATCCCTTGTCACTTGATCATTCGAAAATGCTTTTCGTGCACAGCATAACATTCTGCCCTCTGCTGGAAAATGTTGTCAATGTGTCTAAATATGTGCCTAATGTTATGCGGTTCAATACGTTTTATTATGCTGGATGAAGTGATTCAATGCGGCAATAATAGTGATGCGGTATCAATATTTTGTAATTGTGCGCTAAGAAAGATTGATTTCTGTAGATGTGTTACTGTATCCACTCGTGTGTTGAGAAAACAAACAGTAATTCAATATTTCACAGGAGCCACTTGTATGCACAGGCCTGCTAGACGTGTTTAATTATACCTCTCAATGTGGCATTTTGAAACATTACAAGATGCCTTGTGCCTTTGGTTATCCGTTGTGGTTCACCAGCGTAACAAGTTATTCTGTTAGAGAACAGGAGCCAGTCTGAATTGTCAATAGTGATACAATAAACGTTACAGCCCTTTCTAAATACGTCGTTGGATGAAGGAAGAAGGAGGCCTTCATCCAACAATGTATGTCATGTCGGTCATGGGGGTTGTTTTTGTCATACTTTATCATACTGAGCAGTGTCGGAAGGTAAAGGGGATAAGGCGGTAGGCTCAGGTTGATGGGTTCAGATATCACTTGCCACTGATGTTAGCTGTGCCTGGTGTGCTAACCGCTCGCTATACCACTGCTCCACCCTATATATTTGATGTTTATGTTGAATAGATAATACGATTTAAAGAAAAAAAATTGTTACACAATGGATATGTATGTGCTGCAATGTTGTTTATTTTATTTATATAAAATATTTTTTCCACCTTCGTTTTGCCTTTCATCAAATGTGCCCAAACGTTGCTGTTGGTGTTGTCTCAAGATGAATAATTCATTCGTACAACTCGAGAGAATGGTCTGTAGAAGCGGATATCTTCGAGTTGCTTCTGAAATCTCACCAAGTGACGCTGGGGACGTCACTTTCTCAGCTGCCTTGCTAACAACATTAATGTTTATCAGATGGCAGAATGTAGCCAATTGTCAAAAAAAAATTGTGATCTGATATTTTGCGCGTGTAGTTATTGATCACCGGGTCAAGATCATTAAACCATTATACTCCAAAGCCCAATTTCATCAATATTTGAACCCAGGATCTCAGTGGTGTATCTTTAATAATTGTTTTAAATTTTGATTGCATGTGCTCTCTGCACTCGTTGCGACGCTATCAAAATTTATCGCCACATTTGCTTGTGTAGATGTCGCAGTGTTGGTGGCACTGTTCTGGAATTATATTTTATTTTGCTCTGAGTGGACGAGTTAAACATTGCTGCTGTTGCGAATGTTATTGGACAACACCAATAAAACACCACTAAGGATGCAAATGTCAGCGAACACTCTTATTCATGCGATAATTTTCTGTCTGGGCGGTTCTAGCAATATGGATTACAGGATTATAGAACTGATTTTCATACTGATTAAAAGATCTGTGGTTTGGTATTGTGCTACTTCCACCGAGTGAACTATTCGGCTGATATTTGTATGGCACTAAGTAGACGTTAAAATGACCGCATAGATGAAGAATTGGTTTACTTTTAGAACCGAGTGGACAAATAACTTGAGCAGGTGGTCATACTTTTAATGGACAGTAATTGCCCCTTTTGTTATTTAGGTTTATTGACCACATCTCACGTTTGTGTGCAATATGAAATTGTGTGCAAACAACAAAACGCACGTGCCAAGATTGTATAAACCATGTGGCTATAAACACAATTAATGTAAACAAATACAGCTGCAATTCTTTTGTTTTCATCACCTGCAAATATTAACCATGTCGAACCCATTTCATACTTATGTATATTATTTGCTATCACACTGATGTGCCTTTTCAACAAGCTTTTTGCAGGTTAAGGTAGTTATTTTATGATCGTTGTAAAATTACCCCCTTGAAATTTAATTTCACGCAAAAAATGTCATGGTTTTTTTTTTAAAACACGTTTTCCCAACGTTATCTCGTTGTGCGTGTTTATCAAGGTGTGTCTATAAAGTTGTGTCTATAAAGTTGTGTTATAAAGTTGTGTCTATAAAGTCTTCAAGCATTGGCTCACCTACAGTGTGGTGTGGCGAACGCAGAAATGTGATTTCATGATTTTCTTTTAAAACCAAAAAAAACATGTTATGGTTTAAGGAAATAGATATACATAACCTACCAAAAACTCAAGTTTGGTAAACGTTCATTATCCATTGTATTGATTGTTATGTCATTGGAAAATTGTCCTCTTATTTTTAAATGTGGGTAGGACAGCGGCTTGTATGTTGCACTCTGAACCCCATGCCCCAAGTTCGTGTCCCAGCCGTGGACAACACGAGGAGTGAGCGATGTCTAAACCAGCCCTGCGCTACTCACCCCACCCTCCCCCCAGTCTTGCACCAACTTCGCTGACCAGCGTGGTGAAGTATGGTAAATACAAAATGCATGACCGACACACATTCATTGGTGGACTGAGTTGCTTAAATGTATTACTCATTCTTGTATATAAGTAGATCGTTAATAAGAGACAGCTACTATTTTTATACTGTTCTCACAGTCCTGCACTTGGAGTAACAAATATATACTAGGATTTTACGAATGTTCTGGTGAAATAATTCGATGAATAGGAGCACAAATTGAAAATATAAATTCATTTTAAATGAATCGTGGTCAATATTCTGTATCCGTTACTCCCACCTCATCGGTTCCGCTATCTATTAAATGTCTTACAAATTTATTCTTCCGCCGATCCAATTGAATGCAACGTTTATTTGTTACACGGAAAAATCCCGTTTAGCCAGTCACCCATTTAGTTTTGATGACAAAGCACTAACAATCAAGTTCTTGTTGGTATGGAAAGGAGCCCAGCCAGCAGCCATCCAGGAAACTCGAGGCAGAGATTTTTTTTTATCGAAGAATGATAATTATAATCCGTATATATAATTAGACTTTCCCATCAATCTTTGGCTAAGTTTAGTTTGTGCAAGAAAAGCCTCATCACGGTGGGGGGCTTTTTTTTTTTTTGGGCGGTGAACGTGGTTGTCTTCGGCAATCTCACAAATGGAATTGAGTTGTCCGCTCCTCACCCACGTCGAACACTCCACCTGCAAAGCGGAGGTTTTCCTTCTGCGTTGGAACTTGTAGGGCCGTGCATCTGCGCGTCTGTAAACACAGTGTGGAGTGGTGGCGTAGCGGTTAGCACCACTGCGCTACGAATCCGGCGACAGGAGTTCGATTCCCACTCACGGTCAACATCGGCGATGAACATCTGAACCGGTCCTGGGTTTTCCCTAGGTCGATTCAGTCTCAAATGAGTAAGTACCTGGTGTGATGTGTAAACATCGCCACTGGGGAGACAAAGGCTGTCGGGCGTCGTGCCGGGCCACCCACCCCCTCGTGTAACGTGCCGGCCTTCATAGGTACTGCTCGCTAACAGCACTTTCCCCAACAGTTTGTTTAGGCTACACGGAGGATCTTTGTCTTTGTAAATACGCGTGTACACGCGGTAACATTTTTCATCATGCTGTGTATTCGTATGTGTCTGGTTTTTTGCCAAAGGGTGGAACATTGATAATTGTTCTGTTTTGTGTTTATTTGACGTCTTGGCAGGACACCTGTGCACGTGTGTTGTCGCCTTGACGTGGCCATGGTGAGAGTGGCATTGCTCTGAATCTTGTTTTACATTGGCAGCCACCAAAACTCTTTAAGGATTGGCTCACCTAGGTGAGGTCAAATTACCTTGCATTTTTGCTCGAATAGTTGTCTATTCCAGAGTAACAGATCAACTAATCTTCCACTTTCATGTGCATGTTGAGCAAGAATGCATTAGTTATGTGCAGCTCACCGAATCTAACGATGCAGATCTCATTTATATTGTATAAATACAGAAACAACCGTTCTATCATAGTTATTATTTTGTTCTGTAAAGGCAGAATGCATTTCAAAAGAGCAGTACTGTACTTAACGTTTCAAATTGCTTGACCTATTTCATAAAAAAAAACTGATTTGGCACGTAAAAAATGGCGATTAGCTATCAAATCAAGTGCCTTACATTCTGTATAGAATTAACAACAACAAAAAACGAATTCACGTTTCACCTGGCAACTGAAAAACTTTGGATTGGGTCGGACAGCAGTTATTGAACTTGCACCGATTGCGAACCCCTTTTGGCTATTTTACTGCTTCAACCCTTTGGCAGAATTATCTGTGCGCTGATCAGTCTCCTGTTACAGCAGGCACGCGGCACAGGTGTGGAGTGGCTACAACCAGCCTCCACCGGAAAACAGAGCTATATCATCCTCCTGAGTGATGCGTCTGAGCATTAAGCTGGGGGAGAAACCCTCCGGCATTAAATACCGAAAACCATAGAGCTCTCTCGATCGCTAAATTTCAAATTGTATATTTTTTTAAAGACTAAGAAGAGGATCGTTTTGATTTAAAGCTTTCGTGACTACAGCGATTCATATTCTTGGTTCTTTTGGTAAAGTCACGTAGAAGGGAAACAATAAAATAATAAAAATATAAAACAATACAATTCTCACGACGTTTTGACTGCAACACAAGCAATCATCATCAGGTGTGAAAACCACAGCAAGAAAATTTGAAAAAAATGGCGGGTTTTTTTTACGTTAGCACCACGGAGAGCGATTTGGCAGTTATTCAGAAAAAAAATATCTCCAAAATCTTGAATAAACACAAGATCCAGGTCTGATTCAACACATTACATAAAATCCGTGATCAAGTTCCGTCTGTAAAATATGTGATTCCGGACAAACAATACCCTGGTGTCCACAAACTAAGTTGCTTCTGTGGTAGTAGTTACATTGGAGAAACCAAACGACATGTCTCGGACCGCATTCGTGAACACAAAGCAGACCTAAAACACGGTAGGACCAACACCTCGGCCGTGGCAGATCACCGTTATAATTCAGTAGGCTCACATGACATTGACTTCTCCAAGACAGAGGTTCTTTGCAAACCATCTGGCTACCTTGAGAGATTCGTTCATGAGGCTACCCACAAATACAAATACAAACACAGAGACAATTTCAACCGAGAAGATGGATTCTGGCTTAGCAATCATTGGAAGGATTTGATAAACCATTTCGGGGCTTAATTGATTGTTCACGCTTACGGTCGCTTTCAGACCGCATCCATTATTTTCATCTCCCCCCTCCTCTTTTCCGAACATAGATGGACTCATCTATCTGAACAAACTGCCAAATCGCTCTCCGTGGTGCTAACGTTAAAAAAACAGCCACTTTTTTAAAAAAAATCTTGCCGTGGTTTTCACACCTGATGATGATTGCTTGTGTTGCAGTCGAAACGTCGTGAGAATTGTATTGTTTTATATTTTTATTATTTTATTGTTTCCCTTCTACATGACTTTACCGAAAGAACCAAGACTAAGAGGATCGTTCTTAATAATCTTGAAGCTGCCCTGTAGCCACCAACTATCGCATTCACAAAGTCTCATTCTTTTTCACGATACTTTATTTTAAATATTTATACGTATATTTGCAAGCGTATAGTATGTATATTGAACTTATTTCACAGCTTACGTAGCCAGCCTTGCTAATCATCATCAATAGATTATCCAGCAATGCGTTACTGTGTTCACTTGGAACATCAAATGCGAATAGCGCATCATAAAATAATTGTTGTCGTGTTAACAATATGCATGCGTTAAACACATACATGTCTTTAAGCACGCGTGCGGTTTAAACATGCATGTATTTGAATAGCGATAAAGCATACAAAACTGGGTAACGTTTTAGAAGATATGGCTTCCCTCTTATCACGGATGGCTATCAGCCTCCCTGGCGACTGACAGGGTGCTTATGTAAGTGCAGCCACTTAATGGCCCTTACTCATCACCCCTGCCTATCGCTTCTCTTCAATGTATCTATGCGTGGATCTGTACGATTGTTGCCCAAACGATCGGCGTGCTGCCTGGCACACTCCATTGCTTTGGTGATGGTAATGGGGTGCATTTCAATGCTGGCTCCGAATTTTAACCATCTGCTAATGTACGTGGGCGTGTGCGCACGTGAGGGGCGTGTGCGCAAGTGTGTCCCTGTGTGTGTGTGTCTCCACACACGTGTCCTCGTGTGTGCAAGGCATCCTTAACAAAGAAAATTGAACAACATGCAAGGTGTGTTTTAATTTAACTCCCCTGCCATGCCCCACAAAGTTATGCAAATGTTTAATTTTGGTCGTTTAATCAATTCCTCTTTCTGCAAAACCCACCAAGTAAAATATCACACTTTGTTGTAGACTTTGTTTTGAGTGTTTATATATACCTAAAATGGGACAAGCAATTTCCAATAGTAAGAGGCATATACAAATATCCTAAATATGTTCAGTAGGGTTCAAAACTGGAAGATGTGACTAATATTTCCAGGCTATATTTAAAAATTAAACTTACATTTTGTTGGTCTCTCAAGTGAAAGGAAACTGACTGTCCTACATTCTCGCTTATTTTCTATCTGGAAAACAGTTCGATTGTTCTGTAAAGTTGTACTATGTTTCATGTTCATATTCTTAGTTCTTTCGGTAAGTCACGTTGAAGGGAAACAATAAAATAATAAAATATTTATGAAACAATAAATCAAAATTTGTACTATGTTGTAAAATATATTAGTAAGTCTATTATAACTGTCGACTCCCGCTAATCATGCAAAAACAATATCAAACGAAATTCAATGTTTGGAGAATATTGAATCACTTTCTGTAAAGTTTAAATAAGAGTGTGTCTCTCGTACGCACATGTTTTCCCCGTCGTCTGCTCAATGTTCTTGTAAGCTCCCCCATGGTATGTCAGTCACTGTGACAGATTATCAAGCACCCAGCCAGCGCTGTCTGAATACTGTTGATGTCTTGTGGCCGGAACACTGCCTGGCACACGCATTTGTTTAGACTGTACCCTTAACCTTACAAATGATGCTTCGCCTTTGTATATATTGTAAACATTAGGTGAATGAGTTTTTTTTTAATTTCAGGGCTGGTATCAGCATGAGCAGTGACAGACGACGTTTAGAATCTTAAGGGAATGAAAAGTACACCGATGCAGGCAAGCCCACTTCACAGTCTTGTGGTGTTTATACAGAAACACAGATGACTTCAAACAATGCATTTCGTGTTTATTGTTGTAAATAAATTAATAATGGTTTCACGTAATCCTCTCGTGGCTGTATTTATTAAAAAATTACCCCAGCTCTATACGTTCTCAACCAGACGAATTAAATGAATCCGCTATTGAAGTAAACCATCAAATGCAACGATCAAAACATTAATTTAAAAAAATAAACCTCATGTATGAATACCTTATCAGTGCCTACCGTATGACGGACCAAGTCAGACCTTATTGGTCGCCCCGTGCCCTTACACATCTCAACGTTCATCCTACAAAGTCCCACCAGAAGGGAGAAACACAAACAAATAGACAACGTCTGTACGCCGTATGGACCTGAAAACTCAATTTCCCTGTACAAGAATACGGGTAAACCGCATGGGATGACAAGTATGTGTATGCGGCATTTATGTAGCACTCGGCATACATATGTATATAATAACAATCACCTCGCACACCTGAGGTGTTGGCTTTAAGGCGGCACTGCTACAGTTTGCGGCCTCGTTTGTAATTTTTTTTTGCCGGTGCAAACCTCAGCTTGTGTTTTTTTTTGAGCGCACAAAGTTGTCATTTTTTGTTTGTTTTACAAAAAAATAAAATTACGCTATTAAGTGTCTTTCTCCTTGGTCGGGGCACTTGTGGCTGAACGCAGCAGTTTCTGCTGCTTTTGTGACCACCTCCGCCTCATGCCAGGCAGACCACAGCGGAACGAAGCCGCGAGGGCTGCATGGATGGTGTTTAGGGCCGCGCGTGCGCCAAACTGTTTACTGTAAGCCATTTTCGCCAGGCGATCTTTGCTGCATGGTAGAATATCCGATGAAAGAAAAGGCTGATAAAAAAAATACACATCTCTTTGATCGAAATGTCAAACATTTACTCTCCGCTCAGTCAAGCTGGAACGTACTAGACGTGCATTCCACGTTGTGTCCGCACAGTGGCATGACAGATGTAATATTTTAAGGTTATAAAAGGTAAAGGTCACATGAAACATTCGATAAATCAAGATCTCATGCTATCAGAGTAACAGCAT